TGTGTGTGTGTGTGTGTGTGTGTGTGTGTGTGTGTGTGGTTTACGTATTTCTTTGACCAGTTTAGCATTACACGATTATCCACAGAATTTAGTAATTACACTGCCTGACCAAAAATAAATAAATAAAATAAACATAAAGCTGCCATGACAAAAAAAGGTCACACTCTAATATTTCACACCTTTGGCTTTGATTACAACACGTTCACTGTGGCATTTCGATAAGTTTCTGCAATGTGACAAGATTTATTTCAGCAAGTGTTGCATTAATTTTTCACCAACTTTCATTGATGATGGTAGGGTCTGATCGTCTCCAGCACATCCAAAGATTCTCAGTGGACTCTGTGGAGCCAATCCATGTGTGAAAATGATGTCTCGTGCTCCCTGAACCACTCTTTCACAATAAGAGCCCCATGATTCCAGGCATTGCCATCTTGGAATATGTCCGTGCCATCAGGGAAGAAACAATCAYTGATGGAATAACCTGGTCATTCAGTATATTCAGGTAGTCAGCTGACCTCATTCTTTGAGCACAGACTGTTGCTGAACCTGGACCTGACCACCTGCAGGAACCCACATCACAGCACTGCCTCCGCAGGCTGTACAGYAGACATGATGGGAGCATCTCTTCACCTGCCTCTCTTCTTACCCTGATGCTCCAATCACTCTGCAACTCATTGCACCAGCTGGGTAAATAACTTKTTTCCAGCTGAAAGATAATCACACGGGCAGTAATTATCCAATAGGAGGCTCTGATCTACGTATTTGCTTAGTTAAATCCAGGTGGAGACTTGTTTTTTGTTTGGTTTTTTCTTTGGCCATGCAGTGTAGTTGCATCAGTAAATAGGAGCAGCAGCTAACTGTAGCACTTCCTGTGGAATCTGGGCCAGGCTTTAGCAGGAAAATTATGACAGAATAACTGTATAATGTAACACTGGTGACAGTATAAAGTTGTTTTTTAAGTGTTTGCATCAATCTCTTTGGTCAAAATTAAACTGTTCTCCAAAATAAAATAGTTGAAAAAGCTTTGTACAGCAGCTGAGATCTTACTTGTTCATAACCTTTCTCACAGATCCTCACTGTAAAAGATCTGAACTATCCCTTTAATGTGTTTGTAGTGCTTGGTATCAACAGAAATTCCAGCCATGACATCTGTTGAAGGAAAAGCCGGGCCTGGAATGAGCCCAACCTCCTGCCGTTAAAAGAAGATCATATTTATCTGGTATTGTTGAACAAATTATTTCAAAAGCAAAGTGTTTTGGGTTAAACAAAGAAAACACCTGCTCCAGATTTGATGACATCACTTCAACATGGTGCAGCTTGGCAGCCGGATGTTGTACACAAAAAGATAACAATCGAGAGTGTTTAACGCTCTCAAGATCTTTGTTTTGTTTTTAATATACAGTCAGTTATTAATTCATGTAGATAATTAAATATATTCAAAACTTTTCCAGAACAAAAGGAATAGATAATTCTGTTTTTTTATCTGACTTTAGATATTTATGCTCCATTTTACTGTTTTAAGGTGGTAAAATCATTTAAAGTTACTGTACGCACAGGTGTGATTTAAACAGTTTCACAACAAATTTATTATTTCAATTCAATTCAAAAATACTTTATTGATCCCAGAGCGAAATTCGGTAATAAAACATTTAGGTTAATGAAACAGTAGTTGGATGTATGTAGTGAAATAGTAGCTAAAAGCTAAATGTAGTAAAACAGTAGCTAAACGCTAAAGGTAATTCAGTTCAATTCAATTCAAAAATACTTTATTGATCCCAGAGCGAAATTAAGTAATTTCATTAGGTATTTCAGCATTTTTCTGATAAGTCACAAAGTTTTATTCAGCTCAAACCACAATCATCTCAATCCAACCTTCAGTAAAAATCAAATATAAATCCCTTTTCACACAAATCCAACATTTCTGCTTTTAGCTTTTAGATTGACTTCTATGGTGCTTTTATTTTGAAGGTGGGCTTATGTTATTAACCTCTCTGTGGGCACTAATATCACTCAAAAAACAGAAATAATGGATTTAATTTAGAAAAAAAAGTCAACTGGGTCGACTCAACTTGATTAAAGGTAACACACACCGACTTTAAGTAAATGTAAGCGTAACGCAAAGTAAATGTGTTACCTTTACTCAATTCAGTTGAGAGGACCCAGTTGACATACTTTTTCAAATTAAATCCATTACATCTATTTTGTGAGAAGTCTCTTCACTGGTGAGTGGAGTTAATGAGAGGTCGAGGATTAAAAGCACAGGGTAAAAATACAATATATCGTTGTTTTTTGCACAACATTTGGTTTGAAAGAGTTTTGAGTGAAGCTGTGGAAAAGCAGTGAGCCCAGCTTGTGGAACGCAGAATAATGCTGTAAATTAAATCAGCATCTTCAGTGGAAAATGTTTCAAACTCAGGACACTGATGGTGCAGGGAGGTCAGCCTGTTGGATTCTGACAAACTCTCTACATTTCTCCTGAATGTTTTGGATTTGGGGGAAATAATGGATGCTACCTCTAAGAACTGTGCAACAAGATGTCTGACCAGAAATGAGACTGGTTAGTAATATAAGTAATTTCTTCACATCACAGACCATTTCTGGAAGTGCAGCCTTTTCCAAAGCTTGAACTCTAAAAAAAAAATATTTTTTAGAACAATTTTGTTACTTTTCAACATTTGCCTCAGAACGTAGATGTTTAACTTTTTTTATGTCTGATTTTACTGTTGCTCAGTTCCAGTCCAGTATGTCACCATTTGGCAGAGGTCTATAAAGTACTTGAAAAAAATAACTAAGTAAAAGTAAAATTACATGAACAGAAAATGACTCTGGTAAAAATTAATTCCACTGCTCAAACTATTCAAGTAAAAGTCATAAAACTATTCATAAAATTTGGGAAAGCAAAAGTACTTTTACACACTCTCTAAGAAATAAACTGTTGAATTTACTGAAACAAACTAGTTCCACTAAGTCAGGTTGACTAATCGAGCAATAATATTGAGTAAATTGAGCAAAGAATATACAGTACATATGTATTTTCTTTGCTCAGTTTACACAACTAGGCTCAGTGGAGCCAGTTGACCAGATTTTGTTGGGTAAATTCAACACTTCATTTTTTAGAGCAGAAACATATTTCATGATGAGTTCAAACATATTTAATTTTGTAAAGAGTAACTAGGTGTTAATTTTTAAAGAAAAGAAGTAAAAGTATAATTTTTTATCTTTAAAATGTTACGAAATAAAAGTAAAAGTAGCTGTTTAAAAAATAATTGGTGAAATTACAAATCCTCAAAAAAACTACTTAAGTACTGTAACGAAGTAAATGTACTTAGTTATGGAGATAAAATTGCCCAACCCTGTACTAATTGAGATTTACTTTTAAATGTAATGTTTCCTGGTGAAATGTAGCTAATTGAAGTATTAAGTTGAATGCAATGTGTTCCACTTTAGCTCCCACAAAAACAATAAATACATCAGAAATGGATTTATGAGAGTATCTGTCCTGTTCTAGTGGTTTAAACAGTCCTTTACTGGAATGAATGGGACCAGTGAATTCTGGGTAACAGCACTGCTTTGCATCATGGAGATGGATCAGTTGATTTGTTCATTAAAGTGTGACGCCTGTGGCTGAAATGAATCCTTTTGGGGAATTTTAAACATGAATTAAAAGGTTCAAGTCCTTTTAATTCATTTTTGTCATTACTATAGTGAGTACATTAATCTCTAAATGCTGCAACAGATTGACTGTGTTTAAAACATATGAAAACTTGTTCATGGCTCATGCTGAGGCTCAGATGTTCTCAAAACAGAACAAATCCAGGTTGGAAGCAGCTGAGTGAATAAAACACTGATAATAATTAACTCACTGTGCAACTATTTCATGAAGAATTTATATATTTATTACAATATTGCCTTTTAATTTGTTGAGGCATAAAAAGTTCAACAAAAAACATTTAAAAAATCAACTTTAATTACAAATGTAAAAAAAATGAGATTCTACTAACATATTTATTTATATATAGTCATTTGGAACAAATTCTTAATAACAATAAATCAATTTCAGTTTATTTAAAAGACTTTGCACTAGAAGCTCCTGTGATTAAAGTGCAGGTTTTGCTGCCATCTGGTGGCTTTGACAGTTTATAAAATCTGACTGGACTCAAAGGAGGTGAACTGGTCTCATGTCAAATACAGCAACATGTGAACATAAAGCTGAGTAACAAGTTGTTTCTAACTTTAAGTGCATTCTGCTCCTCCTCACCTCTTTTCTAGTTCAAACAATGAGGAATAAAACTTAAAAAAACCTAACATTTCATTCACTCCTTCTGCTTCAAGTTCCCGAGGCACAGCAGGAAAACAAACACGGCGGTGTTCACGGAGAACTTGATCAGGCCGATGGAGAAAAGGCCGTAGTTCACGTACAGGAAGCCGCCGATCGTCGGCCCAATGGTGCGAACCAGGGACTGGACCGACGCACACAGTCCAAGCATCGTTCCTGAGTGTGAGAAGGATCAATAAGAAACTGGAAAAACATGACTTCTGGAAGTATTTTCTGCCTGATGTGAAGCGACTGTTTACTGTACCTGCTGTTTCCTCCAGCTCTGTATGAGTCAGCGTAAATAACCCTACAGTAATTAGTGTTTAAGATTTAACAACACACATGTTTTGTGTTAGGTGTCCTCACTGCACAATCTACACGTGTGGAGCAATAAATTAAAGTATCATTAAAAGTTCAAAAAGTGAAACTTGTTTACTGTATAGAGTCTTTCCACACAGATTGAAGGAAAATTGATTCTGTTGGCACAGATATTTAAATGTAATTCACAGATAAATGTTTTTATTGAAGTATCTGGACTATTTCTGATAATTAAATGCAAAATTATATATTTCTGTTTGTACTGTGATTAAACTCTGATTAAATAGTGTGAACCATGTTTGACTCATGATATGACTCATTTTAAAACCAATCATACTTCAGAGGGACAGTTTAGATCAGGGCTATTCGACTGGCAGCCCAATAGCCCAGTTAAATAGTTGAGTGACCAAAGTTCGGCCCGCCAATTGGTTCATTCATCTCTTAAGCCCAAACCCCCCGGTTTAGGCTCTAAGTTCTTTTAGTTAAGCACAGACATGTTTGGTATCTACAGAAACATCAGAATCTTGGCTAGAAGCTGGTAAAAAAAAACATTTCTATGAACATTCAAGACAGTTAAAACTTCAAGCAGCTGAAGATAAAACTATGAAAGTGAAAATTAAACTGGTTTAAAAAGATGGCAAGTCAGAGATGTCAAAATATTTGGGTTAAATAAGAGGATGTGTTATTTTTGTTGTTTTGTTACCACTACATTTATTACATAGGGTTCTGTATGTTGTATTCATGATTAAATGCAGCAAAAGAAACTATTTCAAAGGTAGCAGATCTTTGTAATACTTGGTTTATTTACATAATGACTTTTATTGCTGGATGTTCGGACCCTCAGCTGTTGACCTGCAGTAACTGTGGTCTCCGGAGCAATTTAGTTGAATATCCCTGGTTTAGATAAAACACGCCTCTCACATTAAACAAACAAAAACTATTTTTTCATCAGATTGCAGAACTTGTTTAAGACAGAACTGCTCTGCAGGAAGGGCCTTCAGGATCTGTGACATCTTTTGCCTCAGAGGGAATGGTTCGGTTAGAAGGTGGTGTACAAGAACCATGTGATTTCCTGGTTCTGAACCAAAACTCTGAGACTCAATCAGGTGTTAGCCAACTAAAATGCACTGTCCGTGTACATTATAGTACATGGACAGTACCTGCACTCAGTACTCAGTGTGTTTAATTATCCCATGATTATTTCAGTTTGACTTAATAACTGTTACTGTTTTATACAAGGTTTAGTCAGAGCAGTTTTTTTTCTGAATATTAAACAGCAACAATAAAAATCATTGCATAGACATTTAATTATTTTATGCATTTGTGTTTTATGGCTGAAGAGTCATAAAATAATTGTGTCTAACAAAGAAAACTTCAAGACGTTGCAACAACTAAATTTCATGTTTTTTTCTGACATATTCTCTGTAGATGTAACAATGTCTGACACTCAGTACTGGAAGGCAGGATTATACCTTTCCCGACATAATACCTTTTCTTTTAGACGCAGCAGTGCAGCGGGTTGCATAATTCTGATTTTTTTCTTCATCTGGGAGGTAAACAGCTCAAAAAATGTCTGTAATGCTGATTTCCTGCCTGCATGATTGAAGCTAAGAGCAGCGGGGTGAGGTCACCTGTGTCTGAGGACGGGACGCTCTTGGTGAGCATGCTGTCTGTGATGATGTTGAAGACGCTGAGAGAAAAGATCATGGGTGTGACAGTGATGCAGAGCTGCAGCACGGTCTGCATGTAGGCCTGCAAAAACACAGAAACAAAGAGAAACAGGAAGTCCCCATCATCACTGCTGCTGTCAGAAGCTATAACAGATGCTGTCCATCAGACCAGTTTTACACATTTCTCTACCTACTGCARTAAAATGTATTCATTTTGTTTGTATATTAAAGTTTAAACCTCCATCTTTTTAATGTCACAGTAACAAAGTGCTCACTGACTCTGGTGTAGCAGAAGACTCGCTGATCATTATCTCTGTCACATGTGTGATGTGTGTACAAATATCTCTTGTATCTTTAAGGAAGTGCAGAAAATAACACTTCTAAATATATATTTTACTTACAAAGCTTAATAAACAAAGTCTGAGATGGGAATGACTCACAGCTACTACCACTCCAAATGTCAGCTTTTGACTATAATTGAGTTATGTTATTGTGTTTTAATGAGAACTGGTTCTGGCAGCCATTTTTATTTGGGTTGACACCAAATGTTTTTTTTTTTTTTTTTTAGTTTTAAAGGTTCACGCAATTATTATTTTCTGGAAGTTTTATTCAGGTGTTCATTTGATATTTTGCTAACAGACCAGAGTTGATATTATTAGTTAAGGAGGAAGTTTTCAACAAATATCTCACAAAATATCTTAGTGTTCTGAGTGGAAGGAGTCTTATCTGTTAGAGGTGTTAAGTAGCAAATTATATTTTCTCACATTTCTGTAATCGAGTACGATTCATATGTTCTTTTTAGTTTTTAAGTCATTAATTAAATCTATACTTTTACTTTTTAATGTTTTATTTCAAGTAGTTTGTTTGGTGACATTAAAAGTCATATCTGCTACTAAGTAAAATATTTGAACACAAACATGAATTAAAATCTGGAGAAAAAGCTGCAGCTTAACGCCTGCGATCATTATAAAAGTGACAAGAAGATGGGGTGGAGGAGTTTCATTGTTAAAACAACTCTGAAAGATTGTTTACAAACTCCACCCACTTGGCGGGACACTTCTTTAAAGGGCTCGACACACGGGAGGCGACAATCGCTTGCCCTCCTCCAGCTAAGCGACCGGCGAAAATAGTGCATGTGAAATTTCACACTCGTACACGTAGACGTGCAGACGCGAGCTTGCGATGTGACAAGTTGAAAAATGTTCAACTTTTGTTGCTATTGCATGGCTTTACAACCAATCAGCGAGGGTTTCATTGACTGACCAATGAGAGGAGAGTATGCTACACTGCAGTTAGCTAACACTTTCACCATTATTTTAGCTCTGTCAAACTTTCCAAATTTTATATGACACTTCACAAAGTAATACTTTTAAAAAAAGGGCAGCCGTATGGGAATTTGTTGGTGCCAGGGTGAAGTTATCCGGTAAGTTTTTCCTCACAACATCACAGTGTCTTGGCGTGCGTTTGTTTTCCAACTTCATTAGCAGCGCAAGATTTGTTTAATTTACACGTCTGTAATGCACACCCCAGTGTTGTTTTTGACTGCCATTTTAATTTTAATCTTAGGCTGTGTCCAAAACGACAGGCCGGGTCCTCCGGAGGACCCAGACTACCCGATCGAGGTGGCCCGGGTCCTTGGTAGACAGGGAAGACCGGTAAAAAAGAGGCTGTGAATTTGGACGGTCAAATGTCCCGTCCTTACGTCATGTCACCTAGCAACTGTGACGACACTAAACAAGCAAACTTAAATCAAAACTAGAAAAATATCAATATATTAGCATTATTAATATCACAAAACTATAAAATTAACTTAAAGGTATCATTTGAAGAACTAATAGACCCGCTGTAGGTGCATGTTTATTTCGCGTTTTTTTAGGACAAAAATAATATTTAAAAACACCTCTATACAAATGTTAAAAGTGTTAGAATTACAACCGCTAAAAAAATTAAATTTTATATCACCATATTTTTATTTAAAATGTATTCTTTTGTCTCGCTTCGTCCACCATTACTAGCATAAAAAAATCTCCGGTCGGGCCGCAATGCATTATGGGATATGGTGGGCTGGGAAGGATCCATCAGACCTGTCCTTCGATTTGGGCCAAAGGAAGGACGCATTTGTCGGCCGCATTGGAGGAGTCTTCGGTTTTGGACGGCCTTCGTCGCAGCGCTGTGACGTACAGTATGCGGCCGACGAATTCGGCCTTCTGAGGACCCGGTCCACCGTTAGTCTTTTGAACAAAAATACTTCTTAGTTTTAGTCAGTTTTAGTCATTTCTATATTTAATGGTTTTAGTCGAGTTTTAGTCATTTCTATATTTAATGGTTTTAGTCAGTTTTAGTCATTTCTATATTTAATGGTTTTAGTCGAGTTTTAGTCGACGAAAGCTTAAAAAAAATTGATTAGTTTTAGTCTTAAAAAAAGACAACATATTAGTCNGACGAAAGCTTAAAAAAAATTGATTAGTTTTAGTCTTAAAAAAAGACAACATATTAGTCTTTACAAATTTATTTGAGTAATTTGTGTTAACATTTGTGAATTTGTGTTACTCTAAAATTGCCCAAAACAAAAACATTCTCACTTTGTGGCTTTATTTCTCAGAATTTGCTAAAGTGCAATGAACATACACAATACACATGCCCAATATTATAAGCAATAAAGGGGAACACATGTTCAACTCAAACTTGTCAGCCTGGACGATGAAGATGCATTTTATTTATAAAAACGGACATCGTGCAGTCCTAAACTTAGTTAGTAGACATTAAACTTGTGCAAACGAGTGTTTACATGCACCTTTTATTCAGAACAGAAGCACTGACATGTGCAGTTGCTAAATCCCCCCGGCCAAAAAAAAAAGTTTTACTTTCGTCATGAACGTAAACAAACAGCTTCTGAGAGCTCAGAATGGACCTGCGACCGCTTTTAATGGTGGAAACGTTACTCCCTGTTTAAGCTACAGGAGACGGACGGCCTTTTTGTTTTTTTGCAAAGCAGGGCAGGTTGTCTTCCTTCTTTACTGAATGAGARGAGGAAATGTTCTGTGCTGCTGTGTGTGCGTGTGTGTAACAGCGCTGCTGTCCCTCCCTCCACTCTGCATTCTAAATGATTGACAGACAACCGACTAACATTTTCGTCCGGTCTCGTCTCGTCAACGAAAACTCACACGTTTCGTCATGTCTTAGTCATCAAAAAGCTATGTTTATTTCATTGCCGTCTCGTTATCCTCATGAAAAAAGGGGGCGTCAACAAAAATATTTCATCATCGTCATCGTTAACAAAAACAACACTGGCACAACCCCTTTTTTTGCAAACCACCAGTAACCTTTACAAGAGGCAGTAGAAGAACCAATCAAATTTTGTGAAGACAAGCGACCCGAGAGCACGATTCTCAACGCTGCCAGCGCTATCGCGTCCTGCGTGTTGGGTTTCCCCCTGGTTGCGATGGTAGCTGTTAATCGCTCCCCGTGTGTCGAGCCCATTAGCTGTTGGCTGCATTACCTCAGACAGACTCAGATCTACAGCCGGTCGAAGTGTGATTAAATTTCCAAACTCTTCTGTAAACAGATTTGTTTGAATACAAAATGCTGAACAATCCAACATGTTGTTGCTGTAAACAGACTAATGCTGAGATTTTAAAAATAATGTAATATTGTTTCAATAAACGAAGACCAGAGTTCTTTTTCTTAAAGAGTTCCCCTTTGATGTCACTTCCTGTTTCACTTTGACTGAGCCAAATGCAATAGAAATATAGTTATGTGACAAAACATGTAAAATCATGTGGATTATGCTAATTTTCCTAAATATAAAGATGTTTTCTTTAACTTTTATATCAATGTCACAGGCACTTTAAAGATTTTTTGAAACCCTTTTTAAGCATTAGCAGCAAAAAAATAATAATTTTGAGTAAAAACACCTTCATATTTTATATTTTCCCAGCAAGCTAGCAAAGCTTTTGTTTCTTTCCAGCTGTAAAATATTAATGTCCAAATAATATTTGAGGTTTCCTCTTTAAAATTACATCAAAAATTCCTCATTAGAATAACCTAATAGGATTCAGATCAAATACAGTATTAATGTTTCATTGTGATTAACAAGCCAGTTAATTCATACATCTCTGGAACTGCTCAAGATATCAGAACATTTTGGCCAAATACGATTTAATCCTCATTTTGATTTGATGAGTCACGTCAATCAGAATAATAATCAAAATAAAATTTGAAAATATTTAATTCCAACATCAAAGAAACATAAAAAAATAGACATTTTATTCCCAAAGACAAACAAGAACATACTGTACATCTTAAAGACACAAAGTGTTAAGTTGTGGGTTCGTGGGGTTTTKTGTGTACCTGAGCCAGTCCCACACCAGCAGAAACGCCGATCGACATGAGCAGCAGAGATTTCTCTGGATATCTCGCTGTGAGTCGACCGATCACTCCTCCTTGAACAACCTGGAACAAAACATCGTTTATCGTCTCATCACAAGCTGCACCAATCACTGCAGCATCGTCAAACCTTATCTCAGTTTTACCATTTGAACGATGCCGAAATAGGCCATCAGGTATCCGTTCTGCTCAGGCTCTAGCTTGAAGAATTCCAGTGCGATGATGGAAAACATTACCTGAAATATGCCTTCAGAAACAGGAAGAACTTCTCATCATCCAGCGTATATGAAGGGARAATGAAATATATGATGTCTTTTTCCCTTTTAAAGGACATCCTGAGACTTTTGACTCACCCTKTATATTGCAAGATCTCACACAGTCTGACCCGAGTTTGTGTTTTGATCGGCTCTCAGCTACTGTCACACTAAATRTTAACCAGTTGCCTGTAAAATGCACTGAGGTGTAACCATTTTTGTCTTGGGTAAAGTCAAGTGGCTATGGCAGAAAACCTAAATTACGTTGGCTCAGAGTGAATATGTTGAAGTTCAACATCCAGAGATTCATTTGTAAAAATTTTAATAAGGGACGGTGTTTACACCAACAGTTAATGTCGATGTTTGAAGCAAAGATGTTGCGTAATGTGTCATGATAAAAATATGAGTTGGAACTAATGCTGAGTTATTMCCACACCAAGATTCAGCTCTAAATCTGTTAGAATAACTGAGTTAAAGTCATTGGGTTTTTTTTGGGTGAGTTCTGTGGCGGCCTACTTGAATTGAGTTGACTCTAAATGCTAACCAGGTGTAGATGCACCTCTAATGATTACTTCATGAGAGTTTCATTAAAATATATTAACTAGTTCATGAGATATTTTGCTAACAGGCAAATAAACACACTTACGCAAATACAAGCAAATACATTACTTCCCTTTTTTGCAGCAGACGATATAAAAATATATAATCTAAACATCTTTTCATGTACAGTATCTATTGCCCAGCAATAACAAATATATTGACCAGATTTGTAGATCAGATAGAAAATAGCAGTTAAATAAGTCTTTATTTAAATCGATTCAAACCCAACTCTTACCTGAAGGCAAACCTGCGATGATTTTAATCAAAAAAATCCTCATAACTCCTGGAAACTTCATCAGCCTGGTGATTTCTCCCACGCTGAATACTTTCTTGTTTTGGTTCTCAACTGTGGATGAAGATAAAGAGAAATAAAATGGATATTTACGAAAATTATAATTATCTCAGCTGGAAACCTAAAGCAGATCATAATGAAGTGAAACAGATCTGCTTTAACTGGAGCTTTGGGAGTATTCAGAGCAGCAGCAAACCTTCCTCTTTTCACAGTGAAGCAGAAATGTATCCACTGATGGTCTTTCTTTGGATGCATTTTCTTTTTTTTGACATATTTTCCATTACATGCATGAGTCAAATCCATTTTCTTGCGCTGTGTTTATTGATTAATTTTTTTAACAGTAGCGGTGGCATGCAGCATGGCCTGTGCTGCTGTGCGTTGTGACCAAGGAGGTTCTATAGAACACCTGGAGTGCGCAGAAACCAGGTGACCGTGTGATCGGCTGGTGAAGCTAACTGCTAACGCAAAACGGTCAAGAGTCTGGATTTCCCATTACTGCACATGTTGACAACAGAGCAGAAAAAAAGGACTGACGATGTAGAAATCATAAAAACTATTAATAATAATATTAATCCAATCATTATTAATATTTTACTGTTTATATAATCTATCTAATGTTTTAAAATATGTCAGAAAAGCTGTTTGTGTTATGGGTTTATTAACAGAAGATAAACAGGAAAACGTCTCATTTCACAACACAAATCAGCAGATTTGATCTTATTTAGCTCAATGTGATCTGAGCAGAACATAATGTAACAGTTTAAAATTAAAATAATCTTATAAAGTCGATGTAATCACTGTTATTTATTGAACTAGTTAACAGATATTAGCTTAGGAGCATATATACAGAATTTAGCACTGTTGAATCATGCTACATTTTAACACAAACTATTAAATATTACTTTGTCCTCTGATTAATATTTGTTTATTGTAAAAACATGACCGATAATCTGTGAAACAGATCCAGTTCAGCTGCCGTTTGTCTATTAGTCTCTATGGAGGCTGTGAGCTGTTGGTCTCTGTTTCTGCTCCTCCATGCTGTCACAGAGGCTACCAGTGGACAGGATGGGTGGGACTCAGTCTAGTGATCTATATATTTAAGTCTATGGTTGTGACTAACAGCTGACACTGTGTTTCTGCTTTATTATGCCTTATTTATTTATTTATTGACCTATATTTAACCAGGTAAATTGAGATCACAGATCCCTTTTGCAAGGGCAGCCTGGGCCTGAAGGCAACCTGTTGTACATGTTTTCAGTCTGTGAGGCAAMACCAGAGTACCTGGAGAAAACGCACACAAGCACAAGGAGAACATGCAAACTCCAACAGAAAGACTTCAGGTCCAAACCAGGGATCAAACCCAGGATCTTCTTTCTGTGAGACATCAGTGCTAACCACTGATCCATCGTCCTGCCTCCTCCTTCTGCATATGAGGCAAAGAGACAGAAATAAGGAGACATAAGGAGACATTATCTAATGGTTGCAAATTAGCTTGAATTGACAGCTTGAATCATCTAAAATGATCTTAGCATTCTTTAAAGACCTGGAATTATAGACCTCACTCAGGTCATTTAGAGACATGCCAGCAATTTTACAACAAATTTTGACAATATTTTGCAAGCGATTCTTATTTTTGATGGAAAGTGGCCCAAGCCAACAAATAAAAGCAAAAGTGAGAACAGATTCAATGCGAGCAGAATAAAACATTTTCATAAAAACAGTGCTGTCTCACAGAAARAACAGTGGAGGTAGGTACTTTAGAGATGCTTAGAAATGTAAGTCTGATAGTTGAGGAGGTTAAAGGTCTAGTGTAGTGCTGGGCGGTATACCGTTTTGTACCRAATACCRGTTTTTATTTTTGTTTTGATATGAAATTTTTGAATACCGGACATTCCGGTTTAAATAGCGGATCGTTTCGCCGCGGCCGCCAGTGAACTGTTGTTTCCCAGGGGACATTTYTCCTTGCGGCACCGCTATGTGCATTWGCATGCTAACGTTTGGAGCACCTTCTGGATCTTTCTTTGCTCTGTGATCTGGATGAGCAGGTTTGAGCCCAGGTTGAGTCAGAAAGGCTCTCTGATATAAAGCATYTGGCAAATTGCAACAATGTTTTTTCTAATGTCAGCTTGCTGTGCGAGCCATCTTGAACAGGGTTGACTCCAGAAGTTGTACGTCATCAATTTCTGCAAAACATGTGTCTAGTAAGTCAAGGTCTCTTTTCCAAGGGTGACCTGGCCAAGAGGTCAACAGTACATGGCATAACTTCCATTCATATAGGCCAACCAAGACCTTAACCCCAAACCTAACCTAAACTCACTATAACCTTAAACCTCACCGCAAACTGAAAAATGATGGTCCATCCTTTTAGAACCAGGCTTTGGTCCACATAAAGACTACCGGTCCTGACAAAATAGGAGATTATATCAGAAAAGGTTCTAAAACCAACAGAGACCAAGCACAATACACACAAACTAAAACATCATTACTCGTCATCAAAAGCTCACTCCCATTGCCTGCATACCCTAACCCAGCAGAGTTAATGTTGAGATTATCRTGTTTGGTTTCTTTTAGTTGAACTYCAAGTGCAGACTGAAGAACTAAAAMAAACTTTATTTATAAATGGATGACGTAGCAGCAAAATAGGTTCTTACAGGCAGGATTGAACTGGAACAGGCAGGAGGAAGCAAACACAAATATGATCATAGGAGACACACACAGATCACACAAAGCACCAACAGGAAATTGAAGACAGGAGACAGAATATAAAGGCAACACAGAATCACAGAGAATCATAAAACCAAGGGACAGAAACCAAGAAAGGAGGATTAAAAACACTCAAAAACAGACTGCACACAGAGACACAGACTGCGACAGAGATAGTGTCTGTTTTTTGGTTCCAGAACCAGAGTTAAAGAGTTTTCTTACTTTTGGTGTTGCTTCCGGAGGTCTCAGCTTTAGTGGATTTTGGGATGAAGTTTATAACCAGCAACAAACTGAAGGCACTGCCTGCAGCACCAACAAGTGCAGTGACCGTCTCCCTGAGAAGTTCAAGATACCAACAACGTTAGCAAAGACAAATATCCTCCATCATCATCCTCAGAGCTGCAGCTGTAGATCTGTTTGAAACATAGTGACACCAGCAGAGCACATGATGAACTCACCTAGGAATGTGCGAAATGGCAAAAAATTCATTTCACGATATACATTATGATGAGTGGTGGTAACGATATATATCAC